CAAGGGCTCAAGTAGAAAGCAAATGTTTTGAGAATGATGATGGCAACAAATGTACAAATGTGCTTGACACAATGGATGTATGTATTGATTGTGCTAAGAATTGTACGAGCCCCCAATACAATGATTTAAAAAAAATCTTATGGCTAACTTTGTTCATTTTTGTACTATTTTTAAAACACTTAAAGGGCGTCAAGGTCAATTGTGAAGGTCAGAGTTCACAAAGACAATGTTCTACATCCTATGTTGGTGGATAGCAACTAGAGTCTTAAAAGCTGGTGAGCGGCCATTCATATTACAACTCTTGGGCTCTCCCTGTCCACAGCCAAGAAGAGTGAGAAAAATTCAAGACACGTGGAGACAGTCAGTCAGAGAACTAACGGCCCACAGTAACACTGGTTTCCAAGACCAAGCCAAGACAGGCAGAAGTCGGCGGGCAGCTACCACTACCAACTATGTGAAAGAGAGCACATTCGAAGGTCGGGTAAGATAAGCGCGAGAGAGAAATGTGAAACAAAAACCTCAAGCTTATAAAAAGATCAGACTTATTGGACAGACAGAGACTGGTGGAACCCCGAGCCTGTGACTCAGTCACCCTGCAGATCTGGAAACGAGCTCGCTCTCAGCTAACTAACAGGCAGGTCTACAAAGGGCAGAAAAGCACAAGCGAGGAACACGCACCATGTGAAACCCAAAGAGCAGCATCCACTGAAGGACAGAGTTCAGAAGGGCTAGGAAAGGAGGAGGGCTGGAAGGAGGCAAGGAGGACATAAACTATCTCGCTCACATTGTGGGGACTGCAGTCAATGATGTGACACAAAATCAGTATGAATTGGTGAGTGGAAACCTGATCTGCTCTGTAAACCGTCACCTTATTCACAAAAAGTTTAAAAAGCAAAACATAAAAGCAGCCTACATACGTAGTGAAGAGTGGAGAAAAGTAAAGCACGAACCTGTAAAGAGTGGTATCTGGTGCAACTTTTGATGTGGCTATTACGATGGCATTTGCATATTAGTTTTTAATGACAGGTACAACTTGTAAAATTAAGTTAAAGAAAACTGAATACGAAAGCACATGTACACATGTAGACGCTGTTGAACTGGGAGACGTTTTATTGGATATATTCGCACCACCGTTTTTAAAATTGCACATGTACACACTTAACCAACTGTGTCAGCAGCACTGCCTCAACGATGGGAGGCGGGGATGGACGTTTAAGGGTCCAAGGGCTTCTAGTTAAAGGCTGTAGATGGAAACATACCCTGACTCAGCCCATCCCCAAATCCCCCCACAAACAAACAGAAAGCTATACACCCCCAAGACCAAACAAGGAAGAACACAGAACAAATGTGGACATCCAGAGAGCAAAGGGTCCAGGCCAAGCAGACGGAATGCTGAGCCAGCAGAAAGAGAGGCCAAGAGCCACCAGGCTGCACCACAGCACCTCCGCGGCTCAGGCACGGACGATGCCACAGGCCTCTGGAAATGGGGGTGAAGGTGGATGAAAAATCGACTTAAGCTGTCAGAAGTCCACATTCCTTACCTGTCTCCTGACAGGGATCGCCCCCTTCCCCTTCCTTGGGGAAGACCAGAGGTTTATAACAGAGGGTCTCTAGATGGGGACCATCAACTACGGTGTGGATGCGGTGAAAGAGCCCTTAGTTCTGTTCCCAAACAACGGCAGCTAGGAAAGCACGAGCTAATTCCAGAAAATGTCCTAGAAACAACGTTCTAACAGAAAGTTCACTAGATACAGAACACACACTGCTAAGACATGCCAGCACTAGAGAAAATTCTAGAAGCTTCCAAAGGAAATAAAAAAAGAACCATTCAAAGCACTAAAAGTTTGAAATTTTTTTTTTTTTTAAGTTTGAATTATTGTAGACTTTTCAAGAATACTGTTCAGTATTGCTAGAAGACAATGAAGGAATGCTGTAAATTTTGAGGGAGAATGATTCCCAACCTGAAATTCTACACCTATGCACATGATCAAATATGGAAGTGTGAGAGTTAAAATAAAGCATTTTCAGCAGTACAAGATTTCAGAATTTACCTTTAATGCATCCTTTATCAGGGAGCAGATAAATAATATATTCCACCAAAACACTGGAGTAAAGAAAGAAAAATTGTGGGATCCAGGAACTTGGGATCGAACATAAGAAGAGAGGCAAATGAACCACACACCCACACCCCAATAAAGGAGGAGAGAGATCACAGATTCGCAGCTGTGCCCTAGGCATCCAGCCACCACCCAGAGCCAAGGAGCAGTAGAACGCACAGCACACCTGAGGGGCCCGGAGCCAGAAACAGTGGCAACCAAGTGAACAGGATGCAAATATTCAACATGGCCATGAATGAAAATTTACATAATAAGGCACTTTACACGACACAATCATATAAAGGTTGCATAACAAACCCAAATCATATACATATCTGAGGAGAGGGAGGCAGATGTATGTGACATGTGGCAGCGGGGAAAGAAAATGCTCATGTTCCACAGTAGGAGCCAACAGATAACGCCCCAAGCCGACCACATGTAAAATGTGACCATATAAGCACGTGATCTAGTACCATCTGAAAAGCTGCAGTCATTGGAGGCGGTCACCTCTGAGGAGCAGGCAGAAAAGACAGTCACAGGACTGGTACCTTTCATGACAAGCCTGGACTACACAGCTATTTTAAAATGCTGTGTGCACATGCATGTGTGATCAAAGTAAAGAGTACACGTACATAAAGACGACTAGAGGGTATACATGCTTCCAGTGTTCACAGGAGTGATTTGCTTGTGCAATTAGTTTCACTTTTTTAACCTCTTATATTTTTCAAAGTTGCTGCATTAAGCATGTATTACTTTTACAATAATAAAAGAAAAAAATTACTAAGACACCGCCCCCCCAACCCTCAATAGTTCCTAATAAGCAGGTAGCAGCAGTCCTGGATTTTAAAAGCAGACACGCAGACACCCTGCGCAGGAAAAACTCCATCCATGAGACACACCATTGAGTTTTATGGAATATCTTAATACTCCCCTTCTTCCTTAGACTCTCAAGCCCTCCAGCAACTACTGTAACACCTCTTAACATACGCTCACTCTTCCAAAAGCACCAGATAATAAAATTGGTTACCCAGGTGGTACTGTGCTGCTGCCCGGTTGGTATAAAGGACAACATTCAAATCAGTGTCTGCACATTTCTTCTTCAATCCTTCAGTGTAGGAAATCATAGCCTTCTTGTAGTCTTTTTCTTTAAAGTAATCATTGCCTTCATCCTTATAGGTCTTGGCCTGCTCTAAAAGAGGAGGAAAACTTGTCACTCTTAGGTTTCTTAAAAGGTTCGTGAAAAATAAATCATGCAATAACATATGATAAACCAAATACAAGAAACCCACAGGCAAAGATAACACAAAATTAACATGCAAAAGCTGAGGATCAACCTGGAAAAATAAAGGCATGCATATATAATGTTATAATCAATTCCAAATATCTTATGGGATAGATGACCAAATGCCTACCAAAAAAGAAAAAAAAAAAAAGCAGAATTATCCTATCTCTTAGAGAAAGGTTTTTGTTTTTGAAATGCTGAAGTAACATGGTAAATTTAAACTTGTTTCTGCTCGCACTGCTTCACTCTCTGGAAGGCAAACCATCTTCCTTGCCTGGTTAAGAGCCTACACAATTTTCAGATTCAGCACAAGTGTGTAGTCATTGTGGGGCCAATCCTGCTCCTTCGACATTCTCAAAGCCAGTCCAGAAAAGCCCGTGAAAGCCCAACCTGTGTAAAGCAGGAGTGTGCCAGAGGGGTGTGGCAAGAACAGTGACAGGGGCACACACTCGCACGCTAACTCCTTGTTATTCATCAGTATCTTCCTAACTCCTGTCCTCTCACTTCCATGCAGACACAAAAGAAGTGTTAGGATCACGTAGGATACCTTCTGGGGATCGTTCGTCATCAAAAATTATTGACTGGAGGCAAGCCAGGTCGGGGCTCTCTCGGGGATTGATCTCTGATGGCGCTTTCTTCATAAAGAGGGGGATCTTCTCAAACTCCTGGAGAATGTGAAGGGAACAAATCACCTGAATCGAAACCTCCACTGGCACGCCATCAGCGTCTTACCCATCATGATTTGCTGCATCACCCCTCCCGACCGCCCCCACTTCGGGCCTCAGTTTCCAGTCTGTGAAATGCCAGTTTTACAGGAGGAAGGATGGAAGGTGATCACACGATGGAGGGTTTAACAGGATCGTGAGATGAGCTGTGTAAGCATATATAGTAAACGTTTCTTTTCGAACAAAAATCCCTCGAGTCCTCATCCTTCACACCTAAAGAGTGGTCTGGGTGGCTTAAAAAAAAAGGGGGGGGG